CTTACAAGCGATTCATCAAAACGTCCTTTTTTCAAGCAGCTCAAGTCTCATCTATAAGGGCTGATAAAAGCTTCTTCACGTGAGAACTGAAGTCATCAAGATTGGAGACAACTTAAGTTTGCATCTGAGTTTACATGTACGTCTGAATCTATCGGTTGCCGATGTTCGAAGGAGGAACGATCTAGTGAAAATGAAACGACCTGGTCTTCCTTTCAACACAAGCACTCGCTCGTTTACGATGTTGTCGAATGGTACTTCTGAATCGCTGATAAATAGACGGTTGACCATCAAGCTCATCAAGACTATCTGTAAGGTTCAATCATTTATTTTATCTTCCTGCAAAGTGTTCAAAATTTTCAAAAATTCCACATAATTTGAACAGTTCTTTGCCACAGGCAGAGCGCAGTTAGTGAAGAATGTTCAGCTGAATGCTCAGCAGATATATTACCCTCAGAGAATGAAAATGTTAACTTTTCCATTCCGAAACAAACATTATTCACTGAAATTATCAAGAAACAACTGATGAGATAGTGGTGAATAAAAGACAACAACAGTGTCATTTTCTGGGATAGAATATCATCTGCATCCGAAATGCGAGTTCTTTTTTTTGAATTCAGTTTATTTTCTAGGCAACTGACTCTAANTAGAATATCATCTGCATCCGAAATGCGAGTTCTTTTTTTTGAATTCAGTTTATTTTCTAGGCAACTGACTCTAAGAGTCGAGAAGACGATCAAAACGACCAACGTCTTGAGTTATGATCAACTTCTGAGGCAAATATTCAAATTAGGATTGAACAATTTATGAACGATAAATGCGGGAGAACAATGTGGAATAGTTTAGAATGAAGACGTTTCTGAATGATTTAAAGAGCACTGAAAGCACACAAACTGATCTACTTTCAGCATCGATAATCGATCCTTCAACGGCCGCAATATCCATCTTCATACCCATTTTCAAAGAGTGAATTACTGAGCCATATAATGCGATCATTAGAAATAGCGGTATCAACAATAAAACCGATGTCATGTAGATCTGAAAATTCTTGGATTCGATGAATATTTCGCTTACTAATCGGTGAATCGTGAAGTTAGAACAAAAATATTTTGAAAGGGTCATAGGTTATCGCAGGCAATTAATGGCTTATACACGGCTCAGTGCTGAAATGGTTTACCTCTATTATACAACCACTGCCACCTTTAAAAATGTTTTTCACAAGTTGTAATAAGTACACCCGATTTCAGACACGATCAGTTTCACGTCATTGTAAAGTCTATCCAAGTTGAAAGGCTGCTCTAATTCAGGAGATATTCGTGATCATCAACATTATCTACGATGAATATTGCTACTGAATGAGGTAATTATTAACAATCTAAGATAGTGTAAACCTCTTGAAAGTGATTCGCAATTACGAAGTTTGTCTAGGAATTGTCCTGGAAGGATGGGAATGAAAGAAGAGACGAATGAAGAAGAAGCAAAACCTGGTATCCGAAATGTATGATCGGTGAATATCTCGGTGCACAAGTCAGACCATTCACATTGTAAGTTTGCAATTCGAACATGAACAACATGAAGAAATTGGCTAATACAGAGATAATCCACACCAGCGAGATCATTGCATATGCATGTGAACGAGTGTGCCATATCCGAGAATGCAAAGGCCGACATATTGCATAGTAGCGTTCGAACGCAATCACAGCTAACGTGTATGCTGATGCCGTTACAACAACTGCTGAAAATTTCAGTGCGTAAATAATTTTTAGTTCTTACTCAATCCAATTCAAGCTGAATATTGGCTCAGCTTAGGAAACGCTGTGTGGACCAGCCGTGTTTGAGAGAAAAAGTTTTGTTCCGAGCTGAATGATATAAATTTCGTTGATCAGAATTTTTGACCTCAACAACTTATTCAGTCCCTCAAATTGTTCAATCCCTCAGCTTTTTGACTTCAGTCACAAATGAATTCAACAATGAATCTGATGAAAGAATTTGTTTTCAAAATATAATAGAATTTTGAAATTGCGGCTTGTTGTTCCACACAATCAATATCAAACAATATTGGGTGATTAATGAAATTTTTGCTTTTTATTAAAAAAAACAACTATGGAACAGTGTTGTTCGATGCAGAACTTCATCTGTTAGCCATTAATTTCGAGAAATGTTTAATTTGAAGAAGCAAAAAGAAAAGAGAAACTGAATGAATTGCCCATTGAATATTGGATAACGTATGAGTCTGAAATTGAAATATGCGAACGAATACACAAAACCATTCGGATATTCCCTGAAGATCTGATTTTGAGTGAATTTGATGTTATCAGATGAGTTCTGACCAATATTAGCGCGGCATTTTTTTCGTGAACAAAGCGCAGATCAATTAGATGCATGCAACACTTCGGTGGGATATGCCATATTTTCAGCAAAAAAACGTCTAGATCTTCCGACGAAAACAATTCAGTTGAATTAACAGTGGAACTCGATGAAACTGATGACGAGTCAGGCATTCAAACGAAATCGTTCATGAGTTGACTGAGTATTAACGATGTTGCAGATTTAGCGCAACAAGAGAGGTTCTCTTATCTGCTCGGAGTTCTTATCGTGAACTCCAACAGCAAAAGTTCACCAAGTCCTGTTGTCGATTTTTCTTCTTCTAAAGATCAAGTAATTGTAAAAATGCCCATCACTGATATCACTATTGACTTTGGTTTACAGTTATGACTACGTATTCCATAGATGAATCATAACTTTTTGCATGCTTTAACAAAATAGTTTTTTTTTTCTACGAGGAAAACCGAACCAATGAAATTGAGCATAAAATATGTATGAGCGATATGTTTTGAGAAAGTTTAGTTACTCTCTCTGGATGCCCAGCATTCGTTCACCTATTCATCATAAAAACGTGTGTTAGTGAATGGTGAATGAAAACAACTGAAGACAACTGCTTATCAAGCAGATAATGAATGCGTGTTATTGTTATCGTTGCAATGAAGTGTAGTAAGGTGAACTTTCGTTGCAAGTAAATAATTTTCTTGGATCGTTGTTCGTAAACAGTGATCACTCAAATTGAACAACCGCAGCGATGCACAATTAACTATTATTCTGTAATTGTATTTGCTCGAGATATTCATTAATTGTATTGGCTTGAGATATTCAAGTGCTTCCTGCTTTCCACTTAAATTTTGCTGAATCCTTGCAGACTGATCGTAAACAAAGCAAAGAATAAGTGCTTTTGAAGATACTCAATTGTGAAGATTCAATAAAATATTTCCCTTAATCAATCGAATCCACAGACATAAAAGTAAATGTTTTGATTAAGACAAGAAGCTCTTCTGTGAATTGATTATTTGAAGATCTCGCTCGAATCGACGACTATCACAACAACAATAGTGGCAGCCATTGTTACATTATAATAACAGAAAACGCTTTAGACATGCACAGACTGATACATCTGATGCTTTCTTTGCATTGTACACTCCTACGATTAGATCACAGTTTTGAGGTTGTGCAATAATTTGACGGCAGTTATAAAGTGTGATTGGTGANGCGGTGAGCGTAATTGCGATGAAGCTGATTGCTGATTTCATCATCATAATTGTTGTTTTCATCAAAAATTAAGATATATGTGCAGATGCAGAGAGATGATTCGAATAAGACTATGCCCAGTTGGTTAATCCATGAATGATCTGTTTTATATAACTTCATATATATAACTGTTTTGTATACAACGAATGACTTCGTTGTGAGAAGGAAATATATTTATGTGGGAATCAATGTTAAATCGAAAAATTTTTAGTGCGGAAAATTTCTGGTGGACTCGATCAGTGAGCGAGTGATGATAAGCTATTGATAAACAGTTGCGCGTTTTGACAGATTTGTTGTAATGTTCAATTACTCATCCATCGATTACTTGTCAATATGAGCAAATTTCATTGCAAAACAATATGTTATCATTATTTTTATCAACGAATAAGCATATTCTCAGTAATGTTCACAAAAAATCTCCCTCTTACATTCAAAGAGTAATTACGATCATCTCCTTTTGAACAGGATTTTCCCTCTTGAAGGGCCGTCCGTGAGTAATATAAATGTCTCTCAAATGAAGGAAGGCCCCTTCCTGATCAAAGGCTTCATTTCGGAGATCAATAGAAATATAAAGCCCACGATTAGGTTCAACAGAGTACACATAGCACGAGCAAGTTCGACTGATCGCTGCATGATTGCACAGAAGTTAGATTGAAATGTAAAGCAGAATTAATTGAGGTCATTAATTTGTGTCTATCTATCAGCTCTTGCTCTTTGAAATACTGATTTTTCTTTTCAAAGTCTCGTTCGAAGAGTATTGTTCGCAAGAATCTCATGAAATTTTCGAAGATTTTTGCAGTGGAGTAAACTCATGATGCATGCATTCGGTAAGCGTAGCTGACCACTGCGAATGGATTCAGTCCACAAATGTTTCGATGAGTTCTCGTGGTAAATTTGAACTGATTATATTCCTCATTGAATTTAAAAGTATTCCATGGCAGATACACAATTTACAAATAGTGTCCATGTATGACTTGTTTTTAGACGAAAAAATGTTGTTGCCGGATTTCGAAGACATCGAAAAATAGCGGCAGTTAACTTATCATAATGGAAATCGAGCTGAACATTAGTGAAATTAGGCGTGAAAGGATTTATATCTATATTTGTAGGCTATGCAACTGAATAGAGTTTCATGGATTAGCTTCGTGCGATAAGATGAATGCCGTACGTACATTATGCCGCCCGCTATCGTATCGTCAAAGCATCATCTATCGGTGGTGTATTAAAGTAGCGAAGTCACAAACATCAAGCGAATGGAATGAAGAACATATCGGTTTTGATGTTTGTGTAGTTCGTTTATGAATGATGAATACGAGAAAATAACAAACGTACGCTGTAAATACGCGAACAGTTTACATAAAATATCGCCGAACATCCAGCAATAAATAACCGAACTGACTAGTGTCGGCGGCATACAAACAACGGATAACATCAAATCGGATATTGCCAGATTCAACAAATATATGTTCGTTATAGAACGCATTGTGCGTTGCTGAAATGCTCACAGGTGAATTGATTAGTGATTGCAATCATCTGAAATATTGTTTGTTGATTCTAGAATGCAGAATTTTATATCTGCGATACAACAACATTCACATTTATGCAATGGATACGTTGCCCGAATAGAAACAAACGGGAAAAAGCTCATCAAACAACAGGTCATTTCTTTGCTCCACAGCACTCACTATGGTGCTTTGAATATGCAATCTCAAAAGTCATCTGAATTTTTCGTATCTTTCATAATGTATTTCATTACAGTCAGTACGTTGGTCACTGCAAAAAATGGTTTCTTTAAAACAAATTTCAGTAATATGCTGCAATAATCTGAGAATTAATTGTTGTTTGACTTAAATTCTTAGCCACTGATTCTCAGTCATGACTTGAATTCTTGAAGGAAATTGCTCAATCGCTCATCTTCTCCGGGACAAAGTTCGAATTGCTCTTTTTTGAAAGTACCACAATCGGCAACATTGCTGAATGGTAGGTAAATACGGTCGAAACAATATCAATGATCTCTCGTCAATTCCGATCTCAAAATTCATCCCTCCAAACGTTAAGCTAAGCGTTAGAGCCTGGCTTTGATGCGTTAAATTGTAAAATTTCTCCTCTAAGCGAATTCCAACAAGATCAGTTGTTAAGGCTAATTGAATAGCCGTATATACAGATATGTTTCATTAGAACAATCAGTGAACAGCTGTGAATGAAATCGCGAATGTGTTTCAAACTTTACGCAACAACGCAATTGATCAATCGTTAGATTCATTTCTAAAATTGTAATCATTATTCGCTAAAATTCTCGATGCTTAACATCTTCAAAGCAACTTGAAACGTTTGTTTCCCTATTACATCATCACTCAGTTTATCTTCTCAAATAATAAACTAAAATAACAACTTTCGATTTAATCATGAAGCAAACAACGTTCCAATAATCAAGCCCGAATTGCCTAGGGCAAAACTTAGGAGCTATCTTTTGAAGTGCTCGCTTACGCTTCATTAAAATTAGCATTCTTCATTAAAGTTAACACCCCAGTGGTCAAACAGATGAATCACGTAGCTGAAAAAAGATAGAAAATNTGACCTTCTTGTAAAATGAAAAACACTCAAGAGTCGACTTATTTTCACATTTATTCGATTCATTTTTCAGTCGAAATGACTGTTTTTCATATGTTACTGTTTTTTTTTGTTACTGCTTAGGTAGTGTTACTGTTAAAAGCTGCTCACAGCGGCAAACCGAACGTGAAATGAAACGTTTGAATTGGTGTAACAGAAACGGAACGGAAACCGACCTGAACAATAACGACAACAACGACGGAATTGCCAACAACAGAGAGGCAAAAAATAAGGCAAAATGACACGATGGTGACATAATTTTCGGTGGTTGGCCGGAACTGACAATCGTCTTCCAGCTCGAATTGTGGCATTGAAGTGGTTGGGGTAGTGGCGGTTTCGTTAGCGAATAGTGGTGAGGTGACACTGAAACAATAAAGAATTATTCCGTACTGATCGCACTTGAAGAAATTCCTTTCAGAACTCGGCTACGATTCATTCACACTGAAGCTTCCTGAGCAGTCTCAGTGAAATCTGAGGTGCACCTCACTAAGTCCTCTCGAACGAAGCTCTTACGAATATTAGCTGAAGGAATAAAGAGTTTCATGAATTGATCGATTCAGCTGAGAAGACAAAACTTTTGACGGGTTGGATGGATAAATGAGGCACGTAGAAATGATCGTTTGGAAGAGCATCGCTCACAAATAAGTTCACGGGTAAACACAACCAACAACACTTCCATTGCTAATACGATTTGTTTCAAAGACTGAATTACGGATGGATTATAATCGTATTGGAGAAACGAATAGTAAAGTATGTAAGTGAATATTTCTGAGAGTGACTTGAACAAATACTTCATAGACCATAGAATGAATGTCGTGTAAAGATGGCATTCATAGGCTATTATTTTGACTATCCTTCAACTGAGTAATCCTTCAATTGCATCAAATGTGTTGGCATTTTGATGTGTTTCATTCAAGGAGATCTTCACCGGACTATGACATTTTAATGGCATTTGCTTAATTAGGCACAATAAATGAAACTGATCAGCTGGCGATTGATTGCAGTTATCTAACTATTTAGTGCACTTCAGATGCCTTGTGTAAGTGTNTTGCACTAATACGCTTTGCTAGTATCGATGGGTGGAATTCAATGGTCGAACAAAAAAGAACAGCGACTTAAAGTGGTACTTCGGAATGCTTCTTAATAACATTTAGTTGCAGTTAACGATCATGTTGAACCATTAAATGTTGTTGGAAAATCCTTGAAAAAAAGCTGAGAGAACGGAAACAAAACATCTCAATGGATAGTTATCCGAATCTAAACAAGAAATCGGCACTGAAATTGAACGTTGCTATCATGAATAACAAATGCTTCCCGGTAAAGTAAACAATTGTGATTATCGTTGAAATGTTGAAAGTATATATATACACAATCTGAATCTAACAGTTTCGCTGGTAACTGCTCACGTTCAACGGGGTAGTACACTAAACTGCTCTTCTTAAATGTAGTCAACGCATCATTCGGGAAGTGACAGAGCCGCGCTTTATTGAGAAGATGATATCGAGTGGAATGCAAAGGAGACTTCAGATCTTGTGTGTCATCAAAAGTCCAGCTCGCACTTGATATTTACACGAACAAACAATGTATATCACTTTACTGCGCAATACTGCACATCTGTCCACTAACCAACAGACCATCATCACACATCTCTTTTAAGCTGATCAAACTGATTCATGCAATTGTAAGAAGATTATCGTAAAAATGATCCGATGAAATTCTTTATGTGATGAAAACATTTCGATGGATCAGACGGAGTCCGTTCGTTATGACCTCTTAAGAGTTGTCAAGAGAATGTCAGAAAATTGGTTTATCTGAAAAGTAAATTTCGATGCTGCATCAGGCTCCTCAAGATGCATCTGTGTGAGCAAAAACAGTTCACTCGAATGCACCAAGCATTAAAATTTAGTTCTGTTGTGTTCAACAACCAACAATCTGTAAGAGTTTGTTAATCTCCATCAAAACAGTCAGCAATAATTATCAAAAATATCACAAAAGAAAGCAATAAAGTGAATTTGCTTCTTCGAATGACGATCAAACGCAAAGAAAAGTGTTTCGAATGGATTCAGTCTCTTGTTGTTAGCATGGGAATGTTTTTAAGGAACGTTCCAAAATTCATTCGAAAATAAAAGTGACACTTTTGAACTGAATGGAAAACTGAATTCAAATGATTGCTTGATGTTCCAGTGATTTTTTTGTTAGGAGAAGAATCAAAGTTAAGAATGACTTTAATATTTCCACAACAAACGCTTCATTCGAGAGAAGGGTATTTAACTTCGTTTTTCTTTGTTCGAAGAAGATATCAACGAAATGTTTCACGTTTCACTTCACAGGATTGATATTTAGTTTGTTGGTATAAGTTTGTGAAGAATATCGCTTTCAAACATAAAAATTTCAAGTGACATAACTTGTTAGAAAACTTCTTTTTCTGGAAACATTGGCTGTTTTCATATAATCGTCCCTTGAATTTACCCCTTATTCCACTTCGAACTCATTCTATTTGTTCAAAGCGTAACAAAAAAAGCTTGAATCCAATTCCAAGAACTTGACAGCAACTGCAAGCCGAATGACTTCATTAGCGATGCGAGGTTTTTTGCAGTCTTATTGAATGCAGATGCATCGCATCGCAAATTGATGAGTTACAATTAGAAATTCGTCTGGAACGGAGGAAATGGATGAATGGGTCTGTGCTTATAGAACAAAGCGCTATTTGACTGTCGAAAACGATAACAAGATTGCGGATAATTACGAAAAGAGCAATTAAAGATGCATAAAAAAGACGTTGGAATGACGAGGATAATCAAATGAAATTCATTCGAGAATAGATCAAAAGAATCAAAGCAGAACTAACTTTTGAAAATGATGCGATGATGCGTTCGATTCCGTTAGCGGTATCGCTGTAGTGGACGATGGCTGAGCTGATGTACCGAAATAAGCATTTACTGACCATTCGATTGGCAATACTGTGGTCATTGTGACGCTTTCAAGGAATTAATTTAAACCTGCGCACATAGTGTATCAACTGCAAACACAACACAAAGAGCGTTTATCGTTATAACAGAGAGCGTTTTATGATAGCGACGACGCGATGTCCCGCTGAGAAATTTGCTTTTTTTGTGAAATTATTCGCGGTGAATCGGCAACATTGAAAATATCTTAAAATACATCCAAAAAACAATCCGTATGCATGTTAAATGGAACTAAAATATCAAATGTCCCTTGATTCGAATGAGCGAGTAACAGTATTTCGCAGAGATAAAATCAACNCAATGAAAGTGTTCAACCAAAAATTATGTGGCATTTAAAACTAATAACGATAAACTTGAGAAAGCACTTTGAAAAAGCAACGAAAGTTGTTCGCAAAGATAATTTTCCAATTAAAAACTGCGAATAATGCTATTTTATGAGAGGCTTTTTATTGCATTTTGAAATACGATAAAAACTGAACAAGCGCATTGAAATTTCCTAATGAATTGGAATGACTGAAGCGTGTTCGAGCATAGAAACGCTCAATTACATGGTCTTATAATTTGTGTGTAATTGATGGGAAATTTTCGAAATTGCTGGAAATGTTTGTGCATAGGAGCAATGAAAGCGAGCAGAAGTAGCATGGTTTATTCAAGCTAGTGGATACAATTGCACATGATACAATCAGTCCCTCACTCACAGATCTCAAGAAGTAATTAGTGAACAATCCAGGAGTCAACATATTCGCGTTTAGAATCAGTGCAATGCAGGAGCGCCAATCGCGCATTGTCACTTGTGTACACCTGTCGAAAAATAGAGCGATTAAGATTGATGAATAGGTTTTATTCGATTCTGGTTGAGGATCTGATTTGTAAACTGATGAAAATGAAGTAACATGTGCAACGTTCAGTTTCACAGAAAGCGGTTGTATCCTCAATAAATCAATGGTCATTGAGGAAGTGCGAATGTGAAGGAGATACTTAAATAAATCACTCTAGGATTATCTTTTCTTTTCTTTCGTGGACCACATGCACAACTCTCATCTCCTACACATCAATGAAAAAGCGGCCAGCACTGACTCTATTGGTATTGAGGCATTATTCTGTTTCCGGAAGAGTGTGTTACGTTGTAATGGCTATATGGAAGGCAAATCACTTCCCATCCCATAAAAACAACATGCCATCATCACAAAACTTTCCATCTTTCTTTTGAACATATCAAAACAAAACGAAGATGCATCTTAACGAACATTTTATTGATGTGTTCAATCATGCGAATTGTTTCGTTTCGAAATAACTCTCATTATTGCCACATCAAATTCGATCAGTCAAAAGCTGACCGATGAATCCATCGATCATTTAAAAGTCCACTTGTCAGTAATAACTTCGAAAAACAATCAGTGTAATGTTGCTTTTTCGTTCACATTAGTGATGGCATCCGAACGAAATTTTAGCGTGGTCGCATTTTGGGATTGCACAATTCGATTACACACTTCCAACCGAATTTCACAATTATTCGATCGAAATCCGACCACCGAACTTCGGTCCGTTACCATCAATACTTCACATTGCTCATGCTTACAGTTAAGAGAAGAGTTCAATGACGGATGTGTTACGATTATGAAAATATAATTCATTGAGATATCATCGGTCACTTTCAATTAGGTGATCAATCGCAACTCAAATGATGAGTTTTCGAAAAATCGTCAACAAATTTGACATTCGAACGAAACTAATGCTTACTGACACGACAAGAACAAATTTAAAGTTTTGAAAAATCCAATGAAAGATGGTCTCAGTCATGAAACTAAAAGATTAGCTCTGCTGATGATATCGATTGCTTCAGGTTGAGAACTGAGAACCTAAAAGAAAGCCGCACTCAATTATGATGTACATTCCGTCGAAGGAAATGTTACATCAATCACACACACACACGTATTGTATTGTCTTTGCCAAACAACTTCGTTCATATACACTTCCTGTGTAAAGTTAATAATCGTTTTCCATAGTTAATGGTCAGTCATTAAATAGCATTCAGTGCCACTTCGTATTGATTCTCTTAAACTATCGAGTAGTAATGATGACGATAGAATGTCGACATTAGTGTATTGAATTATTTAAAATGATTCCCTTCAAAGTGCTATTCAAAGCTACCAAATCAAAGCCAGCAATGATGTTGTGCACCCATCATCATGCAAAACGCATTACCGTTCTTCTAACATCAACTTCATGTGAATGTTTGTCTTCGACCATATTATCGCTTTACAGAAACGTTGAAACGTTTGTCGAATTTAGCATTGCATTGGAACACTGACAATGAATAAAAAACGAACAATGGATGTGTTCGATCGGCCAGAAACATATTCGATCAGCAGCATTACGTTCGATATGGTCTTTCTCATGTAAAACTCGCAAATTTAAGCTTGTGCATTGGTTTGCACCAGTGAATCAGCTAAACAACTGACAGCACAAACTTTTTGAGCAAAGAAAGTTTTTTGATTGAAAATTAGTGTGAATACGAAAAAAGTTTGACGTAGCAAATATAAGAAAAGAAACGAATTTAGTAACCGAAACATCAAAAACGAAAGAAGAGCATCCATCGTAAATAACAATTCCACAAGTCTATTGATATTCATGAACTATATCAGCACATTCATCTCAATAATCCGAGGATAAAAGATGTGGTCGAAATTTAATGCTTGCTGAGTATGTGAAAGTAAGAATAGAGTTTGAGCAAGTCCATAGAATCGCCGCGAAATGATACTGAAATAAGGAGAATCAAACTGGTAAGAAAGAAGCGCTTCGAAGTGATGATACTATAGTGCTATGCTGAAGAGTTAGTTCATTGGGGGTCAACTCAACGATGTGATAGGATGAAAACGCATCACAAATCTATGAAAATCATGTGGTTTGCCTCGAAATAATGTCGAGCCAATAATATTCGTTCTAATGTGATAGGATCTCCCTGGAGGGAGCGTGGATCTGAATAGCGAGGATGTATAAAGTGGCACAGGGATGGCAGACTCTCGAATCAGAAGAAACACTTCAACAACCTTGCAAAAAAGTGATCCGTTTCGAAAGAATCTGATTTCAGACGATTCTCAAGAGGATATGCAAATCTTCAGTTGGTTGAAGTCGATAGAGATCGTTCCAGTGTTGTATTATTATTCACATGAACGAAACATACCATATCGCATCAAATAAGTTGTTCATATGGTTATGAAGAAATAAGTCCTATGATACTTGTTTTTGAAATTAGTTGCGGATAATGAGGATATGAATTGATCAAATTCATAGATTAAAAAGGAAAAAGCTCTATGAAATGGGAAAAACACCCATCCATCACTGGATTAGGTAAAACAAATTAGATTGGGCAAAATCATTCACTGAGACCTACGGAGACAACAAAAAGAAATGCCAGATCCTGTTATTTGTTAGATGAATTTTGTTAATTCGCTCAGAAGCATTGTTCATTTTCAACGACATAATAAAACGACTATTGATGATTGGCATTATTATTTAACATGTGTTCATTATGGAAATAATATTATATTAAAATCGTAAAAAATTGTTGTAAATGGTCGCGAAACAATGTACGTTCAACTGGAGAAACCAATCAGGTAGGATTTAACAATTTGCTTAGAGTTTTAACATGAGACCATCAGGTTGCTCAAAAAACAGTGATAAAATTTCACTAAATCCAACGTATCATAATTGATGGTTGCATGAGCAAAAAATTGCGAATATTTCTGACACAAAGCTGTGAAAAAGACATCAATAGATTTTGTTTATATTATCGAAAAAGGAAAGAACTTGAATTTACCTCTACTGATCAGTGCAGAGGTGAACCTTTTGTTACTCAATGATCGAGCACGATCATTTCAAGACTTGATATGCTTACAATAATTGACAAATGCAAGATGCTGGCAAAACTGTGTACGTTGAATGGCTAATGACTGAAGATGAAGCAAACACTTCCGTTCAGATAAATGGATGTCTTATCTGAACCAGAAGTGCAAAGTGAAATTGTGTTCTCCTGTGTTCAGTGTGAATGCTCAAAATCAACGATTAATCATTGAGCAGGTGGAATCATTTTGCATTCGGGTGCAGTATCAATATCCTAGAAACCGTCTTGATCATTTCATTGTTTTCGTATTTAGGAATCAAAGGAGGGAATCATATAATAGTTAATGTAAGGTTCATTTGCAACACAAATTTCTCAACTGAAACCGTTTACTATACGAAAATAACTGCAAGGCTACTTGAAATGTTCATTTCGATTTACGGGCTTTACACGATAGTTTGCTGCATTCGATAAACTTGAATTCGGTTTCGTTTTTAAACTGACGATTAATCTAGAACAGTGGTTCTCACGTTCGGGTGCTCTATATCCCCTTTTGATGATCTGGCAGGCCGGCGTTACCCACCTCCCCCGACACCCACAAATTACCCAAAACGGGTAATTTCACTCCCCATGAGAACCACTGTCCTAGATTGTATTCGTTCATAATTGCATGAAGAGCTATTGTCTATGAAACGGTCACTCCAAACTGATTTAGATGGATTCTCATTCTTTTCAGACGTGTTGCATTCACTCTCATAGCTATTACATGCAACTAGCGTTCACTTCATGAGTTTTTCTCATTCACTTCGTATCATTTCACTTCACAGTTCGAATCAATTTCTTATTCTGTAGCACATACTATTTACTGAATGCGTTGACGAGTATTGACAGCCGAAATCAACAATACAGCAATCGAATACTATTGCTCAACACGGTTCAACAGTGAAATGATGAATTATAGAGTGTATTTGATAGAATGAGAATCTGACTTTATTTGTTGAGTGAAATAAATGAGAAATCAGCAAAAAAGAACACTTTTGATGATAAAAGCTATGAGAGCGATTATAGCAGCAAGGAAAAGAATGAAAACCCTATTAGGCCCGGACCAGCTAATGACACTCAGAAAATAAGAGAATGAAGAGTGTTGCCATCAACTAACTATA